TGGACCCAGGGCCCGTCTTGCAGGCTGGGTGAAGGGACGTGGGTCATGGGGTGTGGTGGCAGGTGGGGGAGAGTGAGGACAAGAGCGATGTACTGCATGAAGGGGGAAAGTCTAGCTTTTGAGGGCCAACAAGGCAGGCTGTGAGGGGCCGCCGGCAGAGCTGTCCCTACCCTTGTCCTCCACCAGGGGGTGCTAGAGCTGAGGGCAGGGAGGCTGAGAGAAAAGCTCCTACCGTTGAGGGGTGCACCTGAGAAGGAGCCTGATGTTTTGTTCTTGGGATGGTTGTTCTGAAGAGGCCGTGAGTCGGCTGACCAGCCCCAGTGCCCTAGAAGGGAAGACGTACTGCGGAACGATGGCCCAGTAAGCTAGAGGCCAGCGAGCTGCCCCCAGGGTTCTGAGCTGGGTCCCCTTAGGGGCTTACTAGAGACTGCTGGGGGCCAGGGTGGGGGAGGCGAGGGAGGAAGGAGGCGGGAGGGCAGAGTCGGATGTGGGAACAGAGTGGAAACGATTGGAAGAAAGACACCTGCTCCTCCCCGGAGGTCCGCAGGGCTCACTCCTTTGCCCATTCAGGTGTTGCTCAAAAGTCACCTCCTCAGCCCGGCCGGTGTGGCTCAGTGGTTGAGAGTCGACCCATGCACCAAGAGGTCACCAGTTCGATTCCCGGTCAGGGTACATGCCCAGGTCATGGACCCAATCCCCAGTGGGAGCATGCAGGAGGCGGCCAATCGATGTTCTCCCTCATTGATGTTTCTATCTCTCTCTCCCTCTCCCTTCCGCTCTCTCTAAAATCAATAAAGAAAATAAGTAAATAAATAAAGTCGCCTCCTCAGACAGACCTTCCCTGACACACACCAGAGCACCTACTATGTGCCAGGCATGAATTAGACACGTCTCATGCCAAGTCTTTCAGTCCTCACGATGGCCCCGAGTGGGCATAATTACCCACTCCTGTCGACAGGTGTGGGAACGGAGGCTTAGAGAGGCTAGCCAGCTTAAGTTCCCCAGCAGCCCCCAGTGCAAGGCTTTCCTTATCGCCTTGAGATTTTGATTGTTTCCTGGGCTGTGAAAGGCGCGGAGGAGCATGGGAATCTCGGAGCTGGGGCCAGCGCTCGGGCTCCCTTGGTTTCATTCCCACGGGACCGGGCATGGCATGATTTCTCTGTTTGTACAGGTCTCATGGCCAGTCATGGTGAGGACTTGAGTTGCCAGCCCTGCCGTTTGGGACCGAGAGGGCTGTAGTGGTTGAGGCAAGATGGATCCGGGTGCTCAGGATGCGGACATGGGCAGCCAGCCTCCTGATCGTATGGGGCTTTTGGTTCAGGTTCCAAGAAGCCATTCATCAGACCCCAATAGTGTCCCTCCCCCGGAGGCTCACGGCCTCACTAGGACAGCACTACTGGAACAGCCATTCCCCAGACAGTGCAGGATGCCAGACCATCTCAGTGGCTAAATGTGCAGCCTGTGGAGCAGGTGTGAAGACCACGTCCACCACTGTCCTGGTCATGTGTGACTTCAGGCAAAGTACGCACCAGGCTTTGGTGTGGCTCGGAGCTGGCCCGGCACAGCTCCGTCTGGGTGTGCTCTTGCGGAACACAGACAAGGCCATCTGTGACCACGATGGACCAAGATGAAATAAGACCACTCTTAAGCATGTCTGAACACAGACAAACATGAATGTCGTCTAAACCACAGAAATGACCAAATATCCCTGATCTGGTGAAGGCTGCCTCCTCACCAGCTCCAGCTGTCTCTTCATTCTAGTTGTCCCTCCTTCTAGGTAACGCTGATTGAAATACCCATCAGAGAATCACCTCCTCCTCCTAACAGCATCAAATCCAGAACCAAGTCCTTCTTCCTCAAACCCCCCTAGGCACTTGACACCAGCCCAAACCTCATGACAAGTCGTTTCCCACCTTCTCTGCCTCAGATGCCCACGGGCCCCATGTGCAGTCTCCATTGCTATGACGAGTCACAAACCCCACAGGTGTGTTTCTGGTGACCTTTGGCTGGAGGCATGGACAGTCTGTGTCTCACCGGATTGCTGTCATATTGCACCTGGAATGATACATCCCCAAGACTCCTTTTTTTTTTTTTTTTAATCCTCACCCGAGGATATTTTTTCCATTTTTTTTGTACAGATAGAGTGGGAGGGAGGGAGAGGAAGGGAGAGAGAGAGAGAAACATCGACGTGAAGGGACACATCGAGTGGCTGCCACCCGCACGACTAACCAAGGCCGGGGACAAACTGCAACCAAAGTACGTGCCCTTAGCGGGAACCGAACCCGGGTCTCTCCGGACCGCAGACTGACGCTCTAACCGCTGAGCCAAACTGGCCAGGGCCAAGACTCTTTAAATATACTTGTCAAGCTTCAATATCATTCCATTTTACAAGGGGGGCACTGAACCCCCGAGAGGGGGAGGAACTTTGCTTGAGTCACACAGCTGGTAGTACAGAGCCGGGATGGAAATTCAGGTCTCGTTCCAAAGGCGGTTTCCTAATCCCCTACCTCTTTGTTAATAGGGCAGAAACCACACTACAAATCGGTCCGGTGCCTGGGAGGGGCAGAGCAGAGGGGCCTGGGCTCAAACAGGAAAGAGCCCGGGGACTGCGGGAGGGGAGCGCCCACACCCAGGACATCTCAGTGACCCTCTTCCTCGCCCATTCGTGACTTCCCTCACTGGATCCTTCTCTCCAAGGCTGCCTGGCTGCTGAGTAAACACAGACCCAGCAGAGGCTGAGGTGGGGTCAGTGTCAGCAGAGCCTGAGGCCTGAGTCACTTCCTGACCATTACCCAAGAGGCGACCGACCAGAGCCACAGTCTGAGTGGTCGGCTTGTGCCCTGGCAGGATTGCATCCACTTGGGCAAGGAGCACTTCCCTGCTATTCCTCACCTTTCTGGGCTCACCTCTGCCACACTCAGGTTTTCAAGACACAACAGAGAGGCTCAAGCCCCACCCCTACCCTGGAGAACTGGATCCTTAACTCAGAAGGAAACCCAACTCTCCTGGACAGCTCTGTCTTGTCTGTGCCCAGTCCTGAACTCTGGCCTCTAGAATTCTGTTCCAACTTCAGAATTAGGGTTCCTTCCACCCCAAAGGTCTGAAACTCCCATAGTTCTCCCAGGTACCCGGCCCCTCTCCTTTTCCTCCCACAGGGTCTCAGGGCCAGAGTCAGGGGTAGGGCAGAGAGGAGTGTGGGGAATATGTCAGATACCCCAGACAGGACTTACTGAGGGAGACTCGCATGGTTCGAGCAGCAGACATGTCCTCATGATGTGGGCAAGGCAGATGATTTCAAACACAGGCCATTTCCTTCAAGGAGTAATGCCTCTGAACCCAGACACTGCACAGCCTCGGGGCTCAGAGCCTGGACTCTAAAGCTGGGACGTACTAGCCTCTTCAACCCAGCTCTGCCCTTTGCCAGCTACATGACCTTCAGCAAGTTACTTAACCTCTCTGTACTTCAGGTTCCTCATCTCTAAAATGAGAATAATGATAGTACTGACTCAGGCCTCTCACCAGGATGGAGGGAGTCATGTATGTCAAACACTCAGAATAATGACTGGCAAATGGCTAACAGTGGTGTTCATTAAATAAATATTTTTCACTTCCAATGGGCTGACTCTTCCATGCATTCTCCATACGTTGTTGATATTCTACCGTGTGCCAGGTATGAATAAGGCTGATTCCCTGCCTACAATGCTTGTCGGGGATTTCTGTGGGAGCCTCGTGCCCCTCCCCCACAAAGGGTCTTCAGGACTGCCTCTGAGCTGGGGGCTTGCAGGGAGGGGCTGTGGCACCAGGTCTGAGGCCTGCAGACCCTAGGGGGGACCCCAGCTTGGTGGAGGCCACAGGTAACTTCCTTTCCTTGTTCAGGCCACCTTCTCTCTATTTGACAAAGTGAAGCAAGTGGCCCCCACTCCTTCCACAGCCCAAGTGGCCCCCACTCCTTCCACAGCCCAATTTCCAGGCCAGCGAGGGGTTGGACCATCAACCTGGGCAGCCGAACCTCTTGTGGCCCTTCTCTGCCCACTACTTTGCTCCTGGGAGGCCTCTGTGATTCCATTTGAGCAGAATTTTCTTCATGTTGCACAAGCCGCCAGACACAGGCAGCAGAGGCCGGGCCCGTCATGGCTCTCTAGGCCATTAGGAAGTAGCAAAAACTGTTCAAAACGGAAAATTGCAATCTGGACTGGATAGTTGGTTATTGCAGAAGTACTGTTATTAATTTTAGGTGTAAAAATAATCTTGTGGTGTGTTTTTGAAATAATCTTTATATTTTAGAGATAAAAAATATTTTTGGATGAAATATGTTACCTCGTTTTGCTTCAAAATAATGGGGGAGGAGGGATAAAAGTGGAATAAAAGTGACAAAGAGTTGATGTAATTGTTGAAGCTGAGGGATTGGGTCATGGAGGTTCACTAGACCCTCCCCATCGAAGCGTGGGCCAGAGACCCTCCGAGCCTGGGAGCTGGTTGGAAATGCAGAATCTTGGCTCTACCCCCGACTGACTGAATCAGAAGCTGTATTTTAATGCAATAAAATTCCCAGGGGATTCGTGTTCACAGTCAAGTGTGAGAAGCTGTGGGCTATTTTGTCTATTTTTGTATATGTTTGAAACTTTCCATAATCAAAAGATTGTGGGGGTTTGTTTTGTTTTTCCAAAACTGTCTTCAGTATCCCCGGGACATGTTCCTGCAAAGTCCACGGCTGCAGAGAGCTGAGGGGCCGTGTTTTCCACCCGCGGCCCTCCGGGGACCCGGGTGTATCGCCCCGCCGCGCCAGCACCCGGCCGGGAAGCTCCCCTTCCTGCAGGGCGGCGCACCTGCGCTCCGGCTCGGCTCGGCCGCGGTCCCGGCGGGGACCCGGGCTGTCGCGGCAGGTCCCGGCGGGGCGGGGCGGCGCACCTGGGCAGCCGGCAGGTGGGACGCCCCGCGGGCTGGCCCCGCCCCCGCGCGGGGGAGGAGCGGGAGGCGCGGTGTGGGTGCGGCCAGGACCGCGGCCCGGGGCCGGGTGCTGGGAGCCCCGCGGGCCGCGAACGCAGCCGGCGCGCTGGGGCCACAGAGACTGAGTGCGCGGAATGAGCCTCACCCGGAAAAAGGGCTTCTACAAGCAGGACGTCAACAAGATCGCCTGGGAGCTGCCCAAGACCTACTTGTCCCCAACGCACGTCGGCAGCGGGGCTTATGGCGCGGTGTGGTGAGACCCCTGGGCCTGCGCGCCCGCTGGGGGACGCGGGGGGCGCCCCGGGCGTCCGGGCGGACAGACGACGGGCGCCCGGGCTCCAGGACTCAGGTGGAGCCTCGGGAAGGACGGGGCGGGCCAGGCCAATGCACCTCTTCTGTTCCGTCCCGCCTTGGTGTCCCCTCTCCTACTGGGCTCCCCAGGCCGCGCGCCCACCACCTCCTCCGAGGTCTCCAAGGCCCAGCGCCCCGCGGGCTTGGAAGTCCCTCCAGGCGGGTTTTCTTGGGCCGAAACGGGGGAGCTGGGAGGCGGAGTGTGACGAGAAGCCTCAGGCTGTGGCACAGGCTAGCCTGGAGCCACTCCAGGCGCCATCCCCCTCTTCTCACTGGCTTTGTGGGGTCTCAGTGGGTTGAATTAGGGTTGGATCTGGCTCCCCAGGACTTGAACTTACAAGGGACTCCAGAGTTCTTCCGGGCGAATCCCCATTGTTACAAATAGGTACACTGAGACCCAAAGAGGGAGAAGAGACTTGCCCAGTTGCATTGAGTGAGACTCCCTGGCCCTGGATCCCGTTGGTGCTGTGTCTGACCCCGGGGCACTGACCTGTCTCAGTGTTTGCCTGCTCCCTCCTCCCGCCCCCAGCCCCCTTTGCTTCTTCCACTCCCTCACTTTCCAGGCCCTGGGCATCAGTTTCTCCCAGCCTAGCCTGCGGGCCAGGAGGGACTGGAGTGAGGATGGCCTGGGAGATACCACCCAGGAGTGGCACTGCCCAGGGAGGAAAAGTGCTGCCTACTGACCTGCCTGTGCCCCTACAGCTCCGCCATCGACAAGCGGTCAGGGGAGAAGGTGGCCATCAAGAAGCTGAGCCGGCCCTTCCAGTCTGAGATTTTTGCCAAGCGGGCCTATCGAGAGCTGCTGCTGCTGAAGCACATGCAGCACGAGAACGTAGGCTGGGCCTGGGCCGCGGGGGAAGGCCGGAGGCGGGGCCTGGGCCGCGGGGGAAGGCCGAGGGCGGGGCTGTCCCCGCTTCTGGAAGAGGGTGCAGAGGGTGCCCAGAGCTCAGGACAGGGCCGGAGAAGGGGACCTCCTTCCTGCTCCTTTGATTCTAGTTGCTCATCTCGTTGTTCAGATGGGGAACAGTAGCTGTCTTGCTTACTGCTCAGGAGGGGTGTAAAGGGTGTGTTTGGCAGTGGATCAGAATGACCTTTGTGAGGTACAAACTATCTCACTGTTATGAGGAAACGTGTTCTAGATCTAAGAGCTGGTGCCCAGAATCCAGGTTAATGTTGTTTGTATATGTGACCCTGATAATAACAACAACAATACTAATAGATACAGACGGTATTGAGCACTTATGTGCCCGGCACTGTTCTAAGAGCTTTGCATAAAGCAACTTGTTTAATCCAAGATAAGTACTGTTAACTCCCATGTACAGATGGGGAAACTGAGGCACCGATTATATGGTTGGTCAGTGTCCGGAGCTGGGGTTTGCATTTAGGCAGCCTGGCTCCAGGCCCCAGTGCATAACAATTAGACTGTCCTATCTGATAGAAAGAGCTAGAAAACCACTGACCCAGCGTTGGGTCTGGCAACCAGGCGTTGCTCTAGGATACCTAGATTGAAAGGCAAACATTTAAAATAATGATTTCAATTTTTGTGCACATTTTAAGCCCCATTCCTCTTCAGCAACCTCCCCATGGACTCCCCAGGGGCGATCTTGTCCCTGGCTCTGAACCAGCCCTTTGGCAGGCAAGACTCGATGTGGCTGGAAGGCCTCTTCCCTGTTCCTTCCTTGATTCCTTTCGCCACTCGTGGGTCCCTGCTTGAGTTGGGAGTGGTTTTGTGCTGTTTGCCCTGAACACCAGACTTGGGGGCAGTGAACATAGGGAATGTCCACCTCCTCTTCTCTCCAGCCTGAGTCTCCATCACCGTGCTCCCTCCCAATTAGGGGGATTCCTCTTCTGCCTCTCTCTGCCCCTTAACTGCTTTCAAGAAGGCTGGGAACCTGCCTCCTGCTGGAGATGGTGTATTAGGAAAGGTTGGGTGGTCCTGTGCATGGCATGGCCGCTGGGGAGGCGTCAAGAGGGCTCAATGGCTGCCCAGACTCACTGGAAACCTTCTCCCCAGGTCATCGGGCTCCTGGATGTCTTCACCTCAGCCACCTCCCTGCGCAGCTTCCATGACTTGTGAGTCTGGCTGCACTGGGTTCCAGGGTATTGCAGTCCTTACTCGACACTGGGGAGCAAATTGGGGGTGGGTTTCAGATGCTCTCTTCTGGGTAGGGGTCTTCCTGCCCTGGCATGAAGCAAGGATCAGGAAGCCTTGGCTGACTCTGGCTAATGGGCTGTTTGACAGAGTTATACAGAACCAAAAAATTTCTTTGCTGAATGCATGGTTTGGCAAGTGTAGTAGTTGGTCTAATATTTAGAAACCTGCTGCAGTGAACATAGGGGTGCATATGTCTTTTTGAATTAGTGTTTTGGCTTCCTTTGGATAAAAACCCTGAAGTGAAATTGCTGGGTCATGAGATAGTTCTAATTTTCTGAGGCATCTCCACACTGTTTTCCATAGTGGCTGCACTAATTTGCAACACACACCCCCAACAATTCATGAGAATTCCTTTTTCCCCACATCCCCTCCAGTACTTGTTTATTGATTTATTGATGATCCATTCTGACAGGTGTGAGGTAATATTTCATTGTGGTTTTAATTTGCATTTCTCTGATGATTAATGGTGTTGAGCATCTTTTCATATGTCTATTGACCATCTGTATGTCTTTGCAGAAAATCTATTCAGGTTCTCTGCCCATTATTAAATTGGATTGTTTGTTTTTATGGTGTAAAGTTGTATGAGTTCTTTGTATATTTTGGATATTAATCCCTTATCGCCTATATTATTAATGAATATCTTTTCCAATTCAGTAGGTTGTCTTTTGGTTTTGTTGATGATTTCCTTTGCTGTGCAAAAACTTTTTAGTTTGATGTAGTCCTATTTGTTTATTTTTTCTTTTGTTTCCCTTCCCAAGGATACATATAAATATTACTAAAAGCAATATCAGAGAATTTACTGCCTGTGTTTTCTTCTAAGAGTTTTATGGTTTCAGGTATTACATTTAAATTTTTATTCATTGTGAGTTTACTCTTGTATATGGTGTAAGAATGTGATCCAGTTTCTTTCTTTCTTTTGTATGTATCTGTCTAGTTTTTCCAACATCATTTATTGACTAGACTATCTTTACCCCATTGTATATCTTGCCTCCTTTGCTATAGATTAATTGACTGTATAGGCATAGGTTTATTTCTGGGCTTTCTAATCTGTTCCGTTGATCTATCTGTCTGCTTTTATGCCAGTACCATGCTATTTTGATTATAGTAACCTTATAGTATAGTTTGATATGAGGTAGGATGATATCTCCAACTTTATTCTTCTTTCTCAAGACTGCTGTGGCTAGTCAGGGTCTTTTATGGTTTCATATGAACTTTAAGATTACACGCCCTGGCCGGTTTGGCTCAGCGGTTAGAGCATTGGCCTGCGGTCCGGAGAGGCCCGGGTTCGGTTCCCGCTAAGGGCATGTACCTCGGTTGCAGTTTGTCCCCGGCCCTGGTTGGTCGTGCGGGTGGCAGCCACTCGATGTGTCCCTTTCACATCGATGTTTCTCTCTCTCTCTCTCTCTGCCTCCTGCTCTATCTGAACAGAGAATGAAAGTGTCCTCGGGTGAGGATAAAAAAAAAAAAAAAAAAAAAAAAAAAGATTACTGCCCTGGCCGGTTTGGCTCAGCAGTTAGAGCGTCGGCCCGCAGTCCAGAGAGACTTCGGTTCGGTTCCCGCTAAGGGCACTTACCTTGGTTAAGTTTGTCCTCGGCTCTGATTGGGGTTGTGCAGGAGGCAGCCATTCAATGTGTCTCTTTCCTGTCGATGTTTCTCTCTCTCTCTCTCCCTCCTACTCTATCTGAACAAAATGGAAAAATGTCCTTGGATAAGAGTAAATAAAAAATTTAGGATTACTTGTTTCAGTTCTGTGGAAAATGCCATAGCATTGAATCTATAGATTGCTTTGGGTAGTATGGACATGTTAACGATGTTAATTCTTCCTATCCATGAGCACAATATGCCTCCATTTATTTATACCTTCTTCAGTTTCTCTCTCCATTGCCTTATAATTTTTTGAGTACAGGTCTTTTACCTTCTTGGTTAAATTTATTCCTAGGTGTTTATTTATTTATTTATTTATGCAGTTGCAAGTGTGATTGTTTTTTTAATTTCTATTTCTGATAATTTGTATATAAAAATGCAACTGATTTCTGGATATTAATCGTTTATCTTGCTACATTACTGAATTCATTTATCAGTTCTAATAGTTCTTTGGTGGAGTCTTTAGGATTCTCTCTATATTATATCATGCCATCTGCAAATAAAGACAGTTTTACTTTTTTCCTGTCCAATTTGGATGCTTTTTCTTTCCTTTTCTTGTCTGATTGCTGTGGCTAGGACTTCTAACACCATGTTGAATAAAAGTGGTGAAAGTGGCCCTGGCCAGTGTGGCTCAGCGGCTAGAGCGTCGGCCTGCGGTACTGAGAGACCCGGGTTCGGTTCCCGCTAAGGGCACGTACCTCGGTTGCAGTTTGTCCCCGGCCCTGGTTGGTCGTGCGGGTGGCAGCCACTCGATGTGTCCCTTCACATCGATGTTTCTCTCTCTCTCTCTTCCTCTCTCTTCCTCCCGCTCTATCTGAACAAAAAAAATGGAAAAATGTCCTCGGGTGAGGATAAAAAGAAAAAAGTGGTGAAAGTGGACATCCTTGTCTTATTCCTGGTCTTAAGGAAAGCACTTTTAGCTTTTCACTGTTGAGTATGATATTGGCTGTGGGTTTATCATATATGGCCTTCATTATGTTGAGGTATATTTTGAATGAAGTTTTTCCTAGTATGCCAGTTGCTGGGCTTAGCATTTGGAATTTAATGTGACTAGCCCCTCTGGCAGAGTGGGGGTCTGGGTGCAGTTTCTAAATGAATGCTAATAGTAGTGTGGTCGGTGCTCTAGGCTGGGTAAAGAGCCGAGGACTGCAAGCTGCTTCAGGGGGTTTCACAGAGGAGGCAGTGTTTGAACTCAGTCTTAAAGGATGAGTTTGCCCTGGGTCGAAGGGAGCAGGAACTGTGAGGGTAGAGGCCATGGTGCATGGAAGTGGCTGGACTGTTTGGGCAATATTGAGAAGATTAGTGTGGCTGGTTTGGTCAAGCAAAGAGCCTGGACTTGATTTCACAGGCATCTTCAAGTCCATGGAGGTTTTGAGCAGGGAGGTGATATGGTCAGATCAGATTTGGGGATGTACTCTGGTGGCAACAAGAAAGGAGCTTGGAGGTGGGAACCCAGAGGGTAGTGTTCAAGACCCAGGTCTTGATTTAAATAGAGTAGAAGTGATGGGATGCTGAGAGCAGACCTGAGACCCTTGGGATGCAGTGGCAGGGAGAGGTGGCGTAGGTCAGGGGGTGCCATGTTCCTGCTTGGAATACAAGGTGGAAGAGCAGATCTTGGGAGAAAGATACTGGACTCCATTTGGGCCCTTCACTTTTGACGAGCCTCTGAACATTCAAGTATTTATTCAAAAGTTGCAAATAAATCTGGAGCTCATAAGAAGAAGGTCTGGGCTAGGAATGTGATTTGGATTGGAATGACCACCCATGGATGATAGCCAAAGCCCAGGAACAGGCTAGTGCAGAGCATGACACGATACTGTTGATGATGATATCAGCATTAAAGAGAAGGTCCAAGAGGATGAGCAGGTGAAGAGCTGAGCACACCTAATTAGGGGCAGGGCAGATCGGCAGAGAATCTTGAGGAAGTGTCAGACTTTGCAAAAGGTCAAATAGGAGGAGAGGGAGCCAGGGGGGTGTTGGGCCATTATTGGTGACCTTGATCAGAGCAGTTTTGGTGGTGGAGTGAGAGCAGACACCAGGTTGTTGGAGGCCTGGCATTTCAGGCAGTTGTGTCAGGAGGTGTGGACCACTCTTTCTAGAAGTTTGGCGGGGAGAAAAGGAGGGAGAAGGGCAGTTACTTAAGAAACAAAGTCAACGGAGGGTATTTCTAGCACAGTGAGACTTCAGCGAGTTTGTGGGCCAAGAGGAAAGAACCAGGGTACACGTTGAAGTGAAAGACAAACGCGGGGAGGGGACTGTGCATGGAGCAGGGTCCGGCAGGAGGGAGAGTGTGGTCAGGCAGAAGAAGGCCTCAAAAAGTCACAGACTTGTGGAGATAGCCTCCACCGCATCCTGTGGCTCCCTGCCCCCCTTTAGTGTTCCCTTTTCAGTCTTTATCGTTTTCTGTTCTGGACTTTGCTGTTACTACCTTGAGTAACAGTTACATTTTGCTGACCTTGATCTGTTTTGTAGTTCCTTAAAAGGGTGCAGTGGCTTAGTCACCTCCTTCTTCCTTCTTCCACCCTCTGGAAATGGTTTCCTTCTTGGAAGGGCAGACAGTTTTGGTTGTTCCTGGAGTCATCTCAGCCAGGCATGACACTGTGGGAGAGAAAATTTGGAGAGAAGCAGAAGGAAATATTGAGATGTTTCTAACCCCAGGTCTGGCTCTCTGTGGGGTGTAGAGGAGGGCAAGTAGGGGGCACCTCTGAAGGGAGGGCGCACAGCTCCACTTGGTTTTCCTGAGCACATTCCAGCTGAAATGCTCACCCTGAGCTCTGCCAACTCAGCAGCCACTGTGGTCAGGCTGGGAGCCAGGAGCCAGGAGGCACATGTGGGGTTCTGGCTGGTTCTGCTCACACTCAGAGGTCATCTCTAAAGCCCCTGTTTTGCCCCAGCCCCTTGCCCTTCCTTTGAGCCCAGGCCGGGCTGGGTGGGACTTGGGACTGTACACGAAGCCCTCGTGCCTTGCAGCTACCTGGTGATGCCTTTCATGCAGACGGACCTGCAGAAGATCATGGGCATGGAGTTCAGTGAGGACAAGATCCAGTACCTGGTGTATCAGATGCTCAAGGGTCTTAAGGTGGGTGGGGACCTGGAGGTCGGGGGAGGCCAGGCCTCTGGCTGGGACAGCACACTGTGACAGGGTGGAGGAGGCTTCTGGTGGAAGCTGAGCACGGGACCCACCCTTCTCTCTCTCCCCCACACAGTACATCCACTCCGCTGGGGTCATCCACAGGGTGAGTGCTTCCTTCGCTGTGGTCCCACCACTCCTCGGGGACATGGGGTGTGGATTTTTCAGATCCAGCCTTGGCCTCGGAAGGCCTGCTCAAAGGAGTTGCTGTGTTCTGGGGAGCTCTGGGGGAAATGCTGCAAAGAAAGCAAGCCCTGAGCTGGTGTTCCAGGCGCTTCGGAGCTGGTGCGCCGACAGGACACCTAGTCCAACCCTCATTTTACACACGAGGGGACTGAGCCCAGCGAGGGGGAGGGGCTTGGCAAGGTCACATGCTGGTGGTGGCTGAGCTGGGACAAGCCCCCATCTCTGCCCCTCATCCTGGTGCTCGATCTCTCGTCTAGGACCTGAAGCCGGGCAACCTCGCTGTGAACGAGGACTGTGAGCTGAAGGTGAGGGGCCCGGGAGGGTCAGCTGGGGTGGGTGGGCTCCTCTCCTACAGAAACCCCCCAAAGCTGCTCCAAGAACCTCCTCTCCTCAGCGAGATCCTTCCCTCTGTCCCCTGAGTCATAGATCTTGGATTTCGGGCTGGCGCGGCACGCAGATGCCGAGATGACTGGCTACGTGGTAACCCGCTGGTACCGGGCCCCTGAGGTGATCCTCAGCTGGATGCACTACAACCAGACCGGTCAGTGGTCGGCTGCTGGGGAGGGCTTGGGGCTGAGGCTGGAGCTGGGGTCCTCTCTGGCAGCTCCCCCATGGCCGCCTTGGGTATTCTGGGTTGGCTGCCTGCTGGGTCGTGGTCAGCAGTCCAGGTGCCACTCCCTCCCTCCCTTGGCAGTGGACATCTGGTCTGTGGGCTGCATCATGGCAGAGATGCTGACGGGGAAAACGCTGTTCCGGGGGAAAGACTGTATCCTTTGCTGGGACAGCCAGACTCTGTCCAGGGATTCATTCCTTCAACAGACTCTTTCTCACTTAAGTCTCTCTTTTTCTGAATGGGGAAGTGACCCATGCTCACTGTAGAACAATTTTAAAGTGCAGAAAAGCAACGAGGTGAAAAGTAACCACTGTCACCCCACCGCACTGAGGAAACCCCCACAGTTGGCGCACACTGCGTGCGTGCGTGGTGCCTGCGTGCGTGCGGGTGCCGTGGGGACGGCCGCGCCACACTCGGAGTGATGACGCGGAAATCGATGACGCGGCCGAGTGGGATGCAAGCCAGAGGCAGCCTGTCCAGGAGCATTGTGGGAGGGACCCTTAACCTGGCCTGGCCGGGGAAGCCTTCCAGAGGCCCGAGCCCTAAGGAGGACCCCCTCTCTGGAAGCGGGAGGGGTTAGCGTCTGGAGCGGGGGTGGCCGCCACAGGGCTGGGGTGGGCAGGAGGGAGGGCCAGCAGGAAGGGCAGCTTCAGACCCACCAGCAGCAGAGAGTGAGGCTGAGCCTTAACCTGCTGCCAAGACCTGGACCAGCTGACCCAGATCCTGAAAGTGACCGGGGTGCCAGGTGCAGAGTTTGTGCAGAAGATGAACGACAAAGCGGTGAGTGGCAATGGGCCTGGGCCGACAGGGCGGGCGGGCTGCGGGCCTTTGGGGAGGGGGCTTACTTGTGCCTCCCTCTGCCGAGGCAGGTGCTTTTGTCTTCATCCACTTTGGACCCGGACTGCAGCCTTCAGCCCTGCAGGGCTTTTCTGGAATCCCTGCCCTGTACCCCGAGGCCTGAGCCCCGAGGGGCTGACTGTTGGGAATTACTCAATGCTTTTCTGTCTTCCAGGCCAAGTCCTATATCCAGTCCCTGCCGCAGAGCCCCAAGAAGGACTTCTCCCAGCTGTTTCCGAGCGCCAGCCCCCAGGGTGAGTGAGGGCGGGCTCCGCTCTGTCCCGGGGGGCCCGGCTCTCCCAGGCCTGCTTGCGAGGCTTGTGCTCTTGCTGCAGCCGCGGACCTGCTGGAGAAGATGCTGGAGCTGGACGTGGACAAGCGCCTGACGGCCTCGCAGGCCCTCGCCCACCCCTTCTTCGAACCTTTCCGGGACCCCGAGGAGGAGACAGAGGCCCAGAAGTTTGATGACTCCTTAGAACATGAGAAGCTCACAGTGGATGAGTGGAAGCGTAAGAGCTGGGGCTCAGGCTCTCCTCTGCCTGCTGCCTCTCTCCTCTGTCGCCTTGGTCTCCTGCCTGGCCTAGCCAGCCCCTCCGCCCTCCGGAGACTGCGGCCTCCTCTCTGGGCGACGTCTCCCGGTGCACTCCTTCCTCCGGGGCTGACTTGCTACTCCACGCTGTATCTCTGGGGACGGGGGCGGGCTCTTTCTTGCCCTCTGCACCCCCTGCCCACCTGAGCCGCCCTGCCTTCCTCAGAGCACATCTACAAGGAGATCGTGAACTTCAGCCCCATTGCCCGGAAGGACTCGCGACGCCGGAGTGGCATGAAGCTGCAGTGACTCATCCGGCCGACCCCTGGCTGAGCCCAGGGACCACCACGGGGCAGCCCCTGCCAGACACTGCCCCCAGGACCAATATTATTTGTCACTACTGAACCCTTCTTGGATTATAGCCTTCCAAACAGAGGACAGAAGGCCTTTGTCCTTATGTAGGAAACAGGCCTAGTAGATGGAGAATTCAAAGATGTTGGTTGGGAGGAAATAGCTCTGATCATCTCCGGCCACATTAAATGCCTGTCCGGAGAATCACTTGTGTGTGGGCTCCTTTCCTTCTCGGCTGCAGTGGGGCTAAGAGGGGTGGGCTGAGCGGGCGTAGGGGTCTGCGTCAGTGACGGTGTATTTGTTTGATAGGGCTGCCATAGCAAATGACCACAAACTGGAGGGCTTAAAACAACAGAAATGTATGCTCTCGTGATTCTGAAGGCCAGAGGTCAGGCATCAAGGTGTTGATAAGGCCGTGCTCTCTCTGAAGGGTCTAGAGAAGAATCCTTCCTGCCTCTTCGCAGCTTCTGGTGGCTCCTGGGACCTTTGGTGTCCTTGGCTTGTAGCTGACTCAGTCCACTCCCTGCCTCTGTCTTCACAGGGCCTTCTCCCATGCGTGTGTCTGTCTGTCTTGCCCTGTTCTAAGAACACCAGCTATTAAATGTAGGGTCCCCCCTAATCCAGTATGATCACATCTCAGTCCTTACTCATTACACCTGCAAAGACCCTATTTCTAAATAAGGTTACTTCCTGAGGTTCTGGGTAGACGAGACTTTTTGGGGAACACTATTCAACCCACTCAAAATGGCCACAAGGGAGGGCTCTTTCCTGGGCCGGGTGCTCTGTCGTGGAGCCAAACGTGTTCGGCTGCTAAATTAAGAAGGTTGTAGAGGGAGCTGCAGCTGGTGAGACACAGCATGCAGGTTATTTTGGGTGGGTGATAAGCAATCAAGATATGAAACAACAGCAGGCCGGTTGGCCGGGAGCTACAGAAGGCAGAAAGGGGCTAGTCCCAGGCTTTACGGAAGGCTGCTCTGCGCCTCCCTGGTTGGGAATGATCTGTCTTTGCCAAGCTTTAACCTGATAATGGCCAGGACCCTTCTGTTTAGGCTTGGAGAACTGGCGGGACAAACTCCCATGCACATCAGGAGCTTGGCCCTGTAGTTCTTGCCCTGGGCCCAGTGGGTCGCAAACTTCCCTGTGCACCAGGGACCTGGTTAAAACGCACCTTCCTGAGCCCCTCCCCAGGGGTTCTGATATAGTAGGCCTGGGGCTGAGACCCTAGAATGTTCGAATGAGGACCCTCTCCCCTCAACCCAAGCCTAGTGATTCTGACATCAGGCCATATTTAGAGAAAGTTTAGCTTATTTCGGTATCAATTTGTCAAGAGGCCTAAATTAGGAACCTACAGTGGGAGACTGAGGGGTTTGGAGAGCTTCATACATTTTACAGATGTTAAAGCTGAGGCTCAGCCCTGGCTTGGGTGGCTCAGTGGTAGAGTGTCAGCCCATGGACCAATGAGTCATGGGTTCGATTCCAGTCAAGGGTACCTACCTTGGTTGCGATTTGTCCCCGGCCCTGGTTGGGGTCGTGCAGGAGGCAACCAGACAATGTGTCCCTCTCACATCAATGTTTCTCTCTCTCCCTTTCTCTCCCTCCCACTCTATCTGAAGATAAATAGAAAAATATCCTCGGGTGAGGATTAAAAAAAACAAACACCAAAAAAACCCCTGAGGCTCAGGGCATGTTTAGGGCGGTGAAACCATCCTGTATGACACTGTGATGGATTCCTGAGAGTACGCACTCATCCCGATCCACAGAATGTACAGCACAGGGAGCCATAATGTAAACTACGGACTTCAGTTCATAGCAATGTACCGATGCTCGTTCATCAGTTGTAGCAAATGTACCACACTCGTGTGAAGTGTTAAGAATAGGGAAATGGTGGGGATGGGGGGGGGGGGGGAGTATACGGAACCTTCTGTACTTTGGGCACAATCTTTCCCTAAACCTAAAACTGTTCTAAAATATAATTTCTATTTTTTTAAAGCCCCAAATAATGTCTATTAACAAAACAAAAACAACAACAACAACAACAAAAGAATGAGGCCACACTGCCCCTCCCTGAGAGACTCAGCCCGGGACCCACAGCCAGGAGGGGGTGGGCTCAAGACTGCACTGCAGCAGCTGTGACCACTGAGCCACAGGCTCCTGACGGACACTTGGACCCCAGGATTGCCCAGCCTGCCCTCCTAGCCTGTCTCTTGAGCTCCTCACAGCTGCCTGTGTCCATGGATTTTGTTTTGTCTCCCACAGTGGCCCTGCTGTCAACAAGGGAGGAGTAGTTGGTGGGAGGGGCTGGCTATGTCCTGCGGTAGCCCTGACCTTGCTGGTTACTAAACTGCCCCAGGTCTCCTGTGTGTAAATCCCTCAATTGATTGCCTTCTGAGACTCCTCACTGGCCCCAGGGAAAATCTCAGCCTTCGGTTCTAGTATTCAAAGCCCGTTGCTTTCTCTCTGAGCTCACCAATCTCCTCCTCCCATTACCTATGCCGTAGCCAGTGGAAGGGAGTCCTGGAGTCCCGGAACACACCAGGACTCACCCTGCACGGGAACTGGCTCAAGGCTTCAATAAGGCCTGCAGTGAGTGTTCAACACTGTTTAAACCAGGCTTCCTGAATGTACTCACCCGAAGGACTCCGCTTTCTCCTGACAGCCATCACCCACAGCCCAGCACAGCCAGCCCACAGGTCCCAGGACCCCTCTGCACAGAAGGCCCTTCATCCCTCTTCTCCCTCAGAAAAATCCTCCATATTCTTCGGGACTTAGCTCAGGCCTCCCTCCAGGAAGTCATTTTCCAACGTCCTCCTTGGGCATCAACAGTGTGTGTTCTGTTTCCTCTCCCAGTGCCCACTGGGAGCTCCTGCTGGGAGCAAGTATCTGTAAATATATGGGGACAGTTCAGTCACAGCAGTTGTGGCTTCGACTCCCACCTTAGTGAAATGAAGGTGTCCTTGTGCCATGGCTCAGCTCCTCTCCCAAGGCAGCCGGGCCTGCCATCTGGGGCACCCAGGGCAGGGCTTGCTTGGGGGTGCTGGGTGGCACTGCTCCCAGAGAGGAGCAGCGCATGCAGAGGCAGAGATCTGCCCTCGCATGGAGCCCGGGGTGCGGGTGCCTCAGTTTTCACCTGGCACGTGGAGCTGTGTGGGCAACTCTTCATTCCCCCCCGGCAGTGCTACGGCCACAGCTGGGAGGCAGAAATCCTGCCTCTCCCCACTCTTGGCTTTTGTGCCTTTAAATTCTGTTGAAACAAAGCTCTAAGAACCAGTGCTGGGTGCTTCCCTCCCTTTATTTCTGCAGTGAGCTCAGGCTCCACCCTCATTCTCCCTAAACCCCGCTGTGATCTAAGCTAAGAGGCTCCTTTTCACAATGGACAGCCAGTCCCAAGGGCACCAACTGGACTGCAGATCTTAGTGAGCTGTCCCCGTCGATGCCTTACCCCCCCCCCAACATTTCCTGGAGAGCAGATGGAATTCCCACCTGGCCCCACTGCAGAGCCTCTGCTGCGCTGAGCATTGCGCTCACTCTGGACCAGACAGTCAGCAAAGCCCCCGGGGCTGGGAGCTCCTGACCTTTTCTGGGCCATGGATCCCTTGTCAAAATACTATTTTCATATGCATATAATAAAATACACAGGGTTGCAGAGCAAGCTAGGTATGTTGAAATGTAGTAATGAAAAGATTTGTTTAAATGTGCGATGTTGCAAGACATGGTTTTTTTGGTTTTGTTTTGTTTGAGAGAGAGAGAGAGAGGACAGAAGGGGAGAGAGAAACATCGATGTGAGAGAGATACATCCATAGGCTGGCTCCTGCACGCCCCCTACTGGGGATCGAGCCCACAACCCGGGCATGGGCCCTGACCAGGAATTGAACTGGGACCGCTCAGTTCATGGGACACTGCTTGAGCCACTGAGCCACACCAGCTGGGCATGACTACCAGCTGGGCATGACGCATGGGTTTTTTTTATTAGCACATTACATACAAGAGCCAGGGGTGAGCCTCATAAACGACTGTAGATGTGAAGTGGAATGACTGCGACACCATTTCGGGGATCTGCTGCAGCAGGAGGGGGCCGGAGAGCTCCTGCTGTGTGCCGGCAGCACCAACACAGCTGTGGTTCAGGCCTGGATTCAAATGCAGGTGGGTGGGAGCAAAGTTGGAATATTTCCCAATCCAAGTGCATGGGCCTCTGAATAGTGTACAGTCTGTGGTTTGTAGACTGTTAAGAAGTCTTGTTCTAGATACTAAAATGTGACTTTAGGTGTCCTGCGATTTCTTACCTGACCCACCCCCGCCTCGTTTGCTCATGCAGCCAGGATGCACCTGGGTGCCTACAACGCAGGTTACCCCCAGGCCCCGTGTCTCCCAGCCTCACGATCCAGGTTGGAATGGGTCTGACTGGGCATTTCGTAGGGAATTTGCTAGGTCTCTGTAACTACCTTGCAAACTGGTTGGGATTCTCACATCCCCACCCAGAGCGTTCCCTGTAAACAATTTTACTGATGGAGGCATTTGGGCCCAGAGTAGACTGGGGCCCGGGTCCCCTTCCAGTTACCACTGCACTGTTCTTTCCCCGCAGTGGCATGATGACCTACTGAGATTAACGTGTGGTTTTCTCTCCCTGCATTACTGTCTATGTCCCCACAGCCACCTCAGGCATAAAGAGAGCCAGGCCTAGAGACAGATTTGTGTTGACTGGCCAAGAGAAGAAACTACCAGAAAAACACTTGTTTCTCCCTGTTTTCCCAAACATCTCACCCTGGGAAGATTTTGCCAAGACTGTCAGAGGGGAAAAGGTTGGCAGTGATGGAGGGAAGTACACCTGAGAAGCCGCATGGCTTAGCCAGGGGGCTTCTCCCTGCTGGACAGAAGCAGAGGCTGTTAGTGCCCATGTAGTTTGGGGACTGTGCCCAGCTCCCATCAACACTAGAATGTAGGGATGAAAATGTCCCGAATCCTTGGAGCCATCAGGAAGCTGCGAAGCCATTTCAGGGACTGCTGATGTGAAACCACGAAATACCGCTGCCGCTGAAGCCACCATGACACAGGGTTTCTCCTACACGAAGCCCATACGTTCGTACTGATGCAGCATCTCATGGTTTTAAGTACAGACTGATGATCAGAGGGGCTTTTCTCATGTTGTAGGGTCCATAAAATTCTAGAATTTTTGTGTAATTCCAAGGAGGAGACCCAGGAA